GACCACCCCGCCCCCTTCTCCGCCCACTCTTCCGCCCCCTTTTCCGACGCCCGCTTCCTGTGGCACCTTTGTAGTTTTCCGCAAACTTTTCGTAGCCTTTGATTCATTAACATTTTGGCAATGTGACTCCGCAGCCTTTTCCATAAACTCCGAGCTGCGACTCAGTCTCCTTATTCTCCTAATCCAAAGCAGGCCTAATGGTCTGGCCAGGTTTACGATTGCGTCTTGTTTTCCATTTGGCCGACGGCTTATTTACATAGAACATGAGAGCAGCAAACAGTCCCAACACAATTTGCATACAACTGCAACAAGTTCTGGTGGGGAGCACGTGTAATGGTCATAGGGATGGCTCTAGGGTCTCCTCTATGAATGATTTTAATCCCTACTTATAAAATAGCTTAGCATTTTGTATCGTGTTTTATTTAAAATATAAATAAATTTCAGTTTTATACGACTCTTTTTAGTATACTTTTAAAAATTACAACCCATCCTATAATGAACAGGATTTTTTTGGTTTTCAAATGTTGTGTAAATCGATGACTCACGGTCCTCTCACGGATCCATCGCAATCCCCCGGGAGACACATAATCAAGGTGCCGCTGGGATACACATACATGGCACTCGGATTGGGTTGAGCTGACACTAGCATGTCAACTGTAACAAGTCGGCCACACAGGCATTAAACTATGGAGGTTAATTTGACTAGGGCCGCCGTTTGTGGTGCTGCCAGATGAATCGCCACGGGCTGACGTGGACACAATGCGGAGCAGACTGCTCCATCCAGTGCAACAATGCTCCAGCGAAAGACAAAGGATAAGCTAAAGTATATGTATGTATGGTATATAGCAGTAGTGTGCTCCTGCGGGCGAATGTATGTTTTGAAATCTTAACAGTCCAGGGCCTGTTTTGTATTCCTATTCTGCGCAATATGTGTGTCGGGCAATAAAATGTCTTCCACTTCAAGTTGCAGGCTGGCTCGCTTTAAGGGGCAACGTTGCGTATGCGCAATTATTAAATGCAGCATAAGGCCATTTGGCAAAGGCAACACGATGCAAGTGAGCGTAATTGCTACCAGTGCCCCGCGCCAACTCCCCGCTTTACGAATGTTTTGTCAGTCGATGTCGACGCTATTAACATTTACTTGTGCCGAGTGAAAAATGCACGTCAAATGAACCGTAGAATGACCTGAAAAAAAGTTTAAAAAACAAGTAAGCCAGATAGCTGCAATGGCAACCGTATGCTAACCTACAAATTTACAATTATGCTTCTCTTTAATATTATAACATATATTCTTTACCAAGCTCATCTTTAAATATTTTCAATTAAAATGGTGTAGCAATATTCTTTTAAAACGTTTGGAAATGGATTCTCTTTTAAAATTCTTAACAAAACGATTTAGTTTTGAAAGGCTTCAAATACATTTCAAAAACTTATTGCCCAGCTTTTTTTTTAAGACGAAATTGCGACAAAATTCTGGCAATCTTTTCCATCATCATTAGCTGGACTCACGGAGGTTTAGTCCGCACTAAATCTTTTGTGGTCCGCCGTTATAAAACAAGGATCTCCTCGATTTTAAACAATTTTTCGGCTTCCCGCTTCACATCTAACCGTCCATGCAAATCCGATAACAGCAAAAAAAATAAAATATTTGTGAAAAAAGATAGTAAAAATCGGCGCAATGGCTGCAACTACAAAACATCGCCGGATGTTCGAAGGGGGGAAGGGTGGCGTTTTGGCCAAGTAAGGCTGATTGCTCCCGGCCTTGTGACCGAACCAAACCAAACCGATCAAATGGCTTTTTTCGGTGCCTCAATTCAGTTACTTTTGCTGGCGTTGCTGTTAAAGGGAACGTGACTATTCCAAAACACTGGCTCGAAAATTCTACTGATCGTTGATAGTTGCACTAAACATTGTTAATAAAATATGAATAATAGTGGTATAAATTACTAATGGATAAATTACAACTTCCGGAAACTGTGCTCCCAAAATATATCATTTAATAATACGGGGATTCTAAAAATTAACATACGTATGCTTAAGATAAAATCTTACTGGTTCTTTTTCAGAAGAATAATATGTAGTTTGGACATTTTTGATCCATTTTTGTCAGTGCCTTTTCGCAGAGTTTCTGGGTGGCACACTAATTTGATTTTTTATACAAATGGAGGGAGAGTTGCCGCTCTTATTTCGTTATCGAGTTTTGTTTGTTAACGCTTAGCTTGGCGATTTTCGCGTTAGTTTCCCCTTTTTGCGTTACATCGAAAGCAATTTTGATCGCCGCTGCATTGGCGTGGTGACAGAAATTTGCATTCAATGTCAATTTATGCAAATCTCATTGCCAGACCTGGCGGGCACTTGCGAATACCGGCGAAGGACAAGACAAAACTGTGGCCAATTGTCGAGTTATATGCTAATTATACGGCCATTGCGACTAACCTAAATTTTTCGCGAAAGCGGACAGCAGCATGGCGAAATTTAATTCCGTTTGAATTACTTTTGCCCGGGCAACGACAGGAATAAGTTGTGAGCGGAGAAGGAAAAAATCACAGGAAAATATGAATGGGTCGACCGGTCAGGCCGAGAAAGTGAGGCTCTCTGCTCTGGACGTGGCCAACAAAACGGACAATAGAGCGTAAAATAAGTGCAGAGGCAGAAAGAATTGGGAGAAAAGCGAGCAGCGGGGGCAGCGTTTAGCGAAGGAAAAAAACTTTGCCAACGCGCGGAAAATCCAACGAAATGAAAAATGAACAAAGTGCCCTAATGGCAGGGCACACGGCCGCTTGTACTCATTTCAAAAAATATAAAAGGAGCCCCGCCGGAAAGGAGGAAAGCAAAAAATCAGCTTCAATTGAACAGTTAAACTTCCATTAATTGTACGCCCGGCCAGCGCCACGTGGCCCAGACTCTGGCCCTTTCTCTTCTGGCTGCCAATCCAATCGCATTCCACTGCCAACTGTGTCAGTTTCGAATTACAAATGCATGAACTGCTTACCCAAACAGGTCAGCCTGCAAATTCGCGGTGAATTGTGCAATGGAAGCGGAAGCGCTTGAGGGGCGAATCAATTAGATGATTGTATCATTAGGAACAAAAACAGGCGCCAGGAAATTAACCAACATTTGGGCAGCTAATTGGCTGCCTAAATGGCTCAAGCTGCTCGTGTGGAAATCCATTGAGGGCCCTCTGCTGCCCAATCCCACACCATGCCATCCCATCCCGGCTCCAATGAACCGCACAGCGTAAAGTGTCGTCTTCCACACTCCATTGAAGGCTGTCAAAAAATTTTCAATTTACCAAATTAGTCCGGCAGATGTGTGGGTCCAAGAAAGGAAAAGCCCACACAGAGGTAAAAATCCGACTTTCTTTCTTCGGCCTTTTTAACACTGCACTTTTCAAAGTAAAGCAAGATAATCCAATAAAGAATCCCTTCCCTTGAAATAAAAGCATATATATTTTGATGTTTTGCTTCCTTAACGGAACTTTTATTTAAAATATATTTAATGAGAGAAGCATATTATTTACTCTTATTTATTATTTTTTGGTCAGTGCAGGGGCAGGAAAAGAAATTAGTATTAAGTGAAATGTAATGATGACAACGCCAACTGAGAATCGCCAGCTGACAATAATGAGCTGGCCGGACACAAAAGATTCCGCTTTTCCTAAGCTTCCTCCGACAATTACAGAGATGAGGGCTGATGGGAAAAACCATTCGCGCAGCTAAGCGCATTTTTTAAGCAAACTTTTCACTCAAGCGGCAGCGAAAAATGAAAACCAATACGCATAAATAATAAAAAGAGCATTAACCGGGGCGAGGGCGCAAGTGAAAACATAAATCATTGACTCCGAATTGAAAAGCTTTGCGCAACAAGTCGTTAAAACAATAAAAAACCAGAGACCTACCCCTAAAACCAGTTCGGAAACCCAATTCTGTGGGTTCGAAGGTGCAGGCGAGCGTTTGACCGACGGCAATGAAATATACGTTGAATTGAAAAAAATTAGAATTAATGGCTTTGAAAACATCATGCCAGCGGAAGAAAACAGAAACTTAAAGCCGCATGAATATAAAGAGAAATACATCATGCTTCATTTTATATAAATGCTTTGGAGGAAACGGTTACGTATAATAAAATCATAAGCTTTAAACGTTAAAACAAACTAAACAAAGTGAAAATAATTCTATTTTCCTAGGAAGTTTTAATCGCAGCTTTGGAAATACAAAGAAATACCATAAACTGATTAACTTTTGCCTGGTAATTTATTTCTGGTAAATTTAAATGTATTAGTTTAAAATTTTAAGCTATTTGGAACTAAGTTTTAACCTATTAACGATTTTTTACATTGTTAAAAATATTTGGTTTTAAAAAGCATACGTTTCTTTGTTTTACTGGCGTGCCAAATGTTCGGTTACAGATTTATTGATTGCATTAATTCGCCGAGTCAATTAAAGCGTTTTTCAGGAAGCGTGTCAATGATCGGCGTAATTATCTATTTTTATGAAAGTTTTTGCTGGGGCCCAAAAACTCTTTACTTGCTGTCTGATGGAGAGTGATTGATGCCCAATAAGATATAAAGCCCGGGGAATTTTTTTTACCGCCGCCAGAGCCGAACTAATGACTCCCAAAGCCCCTGACCAGTTTAAACATTTATTAAAAATGTTTTTTGCCAGGGCGTGGTCGCCTCCGACAGAAAATGGAAAGTTAAAAGCGCAAAACAGCAGCTCGCATGTAAATGCCGCAATGTAACACGCTTGTCGGCGTCAACAAGCTCGGCGAAGTTTTACGCATAATTTTATTTACACACGGTCGCAGGCACACAAGCGTACACTCCTTCACAATGCGTATAAATTATGTCAAAAGCGAACACGTGTGTGTGTGTGTTAGTGTGTGTGCGTCTGCCAGTGTGTGTGTGTGTGCTCCTTTGTGTGGCCCCGTTTTTTGCAGCACACTTTTCAGCGCATTGAGCGTTTCCCTTTTGGCAGTCGGCAAATAATTGAAAGCTTAGCTTGCATGCACAACTCGCCTACATTTATTACTCGACGGCTATTGAAAACTAGAAAAACTAAACTGCAGCATAAATAGCGCGGGGTCGCCAACGGGAGGATTGGAAAAGATGTCGGCCAGGTGTTCAAGGCAAGAAGTAGTGCTGCGAATAAGAAATGCTGTATTTAGTCAATGGATTTAGGATGACTGGGATGTATTCACCTTGGGATCTGCCTTCTTCCAGCACTGGTGGAACCACCAGGCCTTGTGGCACAAGGTGTCTCCCTCTGGGTGAATGCAACCCTTGGACATGTCCATCAGTTTGTCCCGCACAGCCAGCGGCACCGTGGCGAAGAGCTTCTCCAAGTGCACATCTCCGTTCTCGTCCACCACCTCGATCTCGTGGAAGAAGCAGTTCATGTAGCACTTGAGCTTCTCGTCCTCGTGGATCTCGCCATCACTGAACTCCTTAATAGCAGCTGGGAAGTAGGTGGGAAATGAGGTATCAGAGGTTCATAATTATTATAATACAAGTTAGCTCTAAATATTGTTAATGGCCATTTTATATCTCTTCCTTTATACGTTTCAATTGCCAAAATGAATCGGACATAAAACATTATCCTTTATTATTTTGCTTTATTATTAATTTTAAAGATATTTACAATGTATTATTTATGTGTCAACTAAGAGATTATCCAAATAAGAATATAATATTGAATTGATCAGTTGCGTGAGCAGACACAAAAAAAGTAAAGTAGATTTTTTAAAAACCATTTAATTCTCCCCAAATAGTCGGCCGAGCACACTTAACGGATGCAATTTCGAGCACATGGCTAAGGGGCCATAAGTGCTCGCTCCGATTGCTGCCATTATGGGCTCACTTTCGGCCAGAAAGCGTTTGCAACTCACCCTCGGAGACGCCCGTCTTCTCCACACACGCGTCGTGGAAGGGCTTGGCCATTTTCAGGATGCCCGGCGGTGGATACTGCAATTAAAAATTGTTGCTTAAGTGGGCGTGGCAGCGCGGAGGCGCAACAGCGCGGCCGGGCACTTCATTAACCCACGTTCTCGTCACGCTGCGCCGAAGCCGGCGGCAGGATCAGCGCTCCGCTGAGCAGCGACAAGGCGATTAAGAGGACAGACGCACTGACACGCCGACCAAAGCCATTCAAAGCCATTTTAATGTGGCTCTCTCCGTTCCGTTCCGTTCTGTTCTGTTCTGTGCTGTTCTGTTTGGTTCGGTTCCTTTCCGTCCGTGGAACAGCAAAAATTGCTCGTTGCCTCGGCCTTGTTTGCCAGCTCTGAATAAAACAAAAACAAGCCTGAAAAAAACAAGCGAGAAACGTGAAACAAAAGCGGCGATGCATAACAGAGTACACGGCACAGGACGAGGGCAAGCGTCGGAAGGACAAGAATGAGAACCCCAACAAGGATGAGTATGAGGATGAGGATGAGGATGCAGATGCTGTTGACGACGATGTGCCACGCGTGACAGCTGGACAATGACAATGGGTGTGGCACTCTCTGGCTACACTGAGGAAAAGTCAACAATTTGAGCAAGTCGAACCTAGTTATAATTCTGTAATATTTTCCTTTTCCCACATTATAATTGTCGAAGTTGATAGAGCCTAAGATTGTGTACTGGACACACCAAAGCAAAATTTCTTTAATGTTAGACAAGCTTGTTGATTTCTTTAGGGGAAACTAATTGCTCAGCTTAAACCAATTGAGAATTTTAGTGTCGCGGTAAATTCTTTACCGGTTCTTTTTTAATTTTAGTTGTTTGAAAGTTGTCAAGTGATGTAATAAACGTAAGATAAATTATAATCATGTCTTTAAAAATAACCTAGCCACAGTGTACTTCTATAAGCCCTAGCGTTTTTCCTTCCTTTTCGCAGCTTTTGTTCGAGTATTTTTTTATATTTTGCGTTTTTGGAAACCATGAAATACCAAAAAAATCATTTGTTTCTTGCCAGCTCAGCGCACGCTAAATTAATTCCAACCGCCGGTGGCCGAACAAAAAGCGACCGCCAAAACGGAAACGGAACTGTGCCCGAGACGTCAGCGAAGTCGTCACAAGTCTACAATTGTCGTGTTCCGTCTGACAAACACATGCCCGTGCCCACGTGGCACGCCCCCTCCGCCCACTCAGTGCACCCCTCTCTAGAATCCCGTTTTCTGGAATCCTTCGCTCAGGTCGACTGTGATATATTGCCTAGCTGAGGGTTCAAGGATTTCGGGATTCCTTATGATGTACGATGGCGGCAATGGAAATTTTCCACCAGCCAGAGAAAAACATTGCTTTTGTAACAGGTAAGTAGCATTTCGTAGGGTAGGAACAAATCTAAATGTTTTTTAAATAGTTATGATAAATAAAAAGAGACGAGTAATTGTTATTTACTTGTTATTGGTTGCAGCATTTCTTAAGATCTCATTAAGATCAGACACAGTTAACACAGCTTATTAGTATTGTTCCTATGCACAATAAATTTTTGGTGTTTAAAAAGTAACATTATTATTGAAAAAACTAAATAAAAAAATAATAAATAAAAAAGATATTATCAGGTATTCTGATTTAACTTGAAAATTACCATAATTATTATTTGAAAAGCGATCTTAAGTCTATAAATTGTTTTGACTTCGATCTTTTAGAGTTTACCAAATATAAATAATGTAATTTAAAGACGAAAGAAATCTTTTAGAGGTTACCAAAAATGAATGGTTTTTGTAAATTTAAGGAACATCATAAGTAAGCCCATGCCGATCCTCCCGCGATTGCAACGGATGCCAGGGTATCAAAATATAAAATTTCCCATTCGCTCGCATCTTTTGAAATCGTACAACCGAAATACACAAAACAAAGACTTCAACTTGTGCACAACTGTCACTTTTGTTTCATCAAATGTCAACGCAACAACCGAAACAAAGCCACAAAACGACATTCGCCCCCAACTCGCAGCACTCGCACAAAAATGGAGGACGAATGAAATTACAGCAACAGCACATTTTTGTAGCATGAATGGAGGTTTGTACGTATTCGAATACGAATACGAATACGAATGCGAATGCGAATACGTATACGTATACGTTTCGCAGTTGTGTGCGGCAGGAACGATGGATGGTTTTTTAATTGCCATTTCAATTTTCGTGTTGCAACGCGTCGTTTGCCTATGCTTGGGCAACCTTCGACCTCTCATTCGCCTTCGTCCTGGCCACCTTCCACCTCACTGCGGCAGGTCCTTTTCCTTTCCCTTTCCCTGCTCCTGCCCCTGCTCCTGGCAGCTGGCAACTGGCAGCTGCTCCTTTGCCCTCACCCCGTTCGCTTTTAGCAGGAGTAGTTATGGCAAAAATTCGATACTGCACACACACGCCACGCAAGAATTGTTTGACAACCGCAGTCACAATTGAATTTGCTTTATTGCCGTTTGCAGCGCTTGGCTTTTATATTGATTTTGGCCAAGTTCACAAGACCACAACTGACTGCCGCACTCAGTTATCAGGCCAATTGACGCTTCATGCCGAGGCGAATGTCTCTATAATGGCATCGCCCATGTAAGTGCAGGGCAAAACTCAAGGGCCACGCCCACTGGCGTGTCTCTAATCATTAGGTGCAAAATTCCACAGTACACTCGGAATGCCAGTCGAGCTGAAAGTCGCAAAATTTTAAGTTACTTTCAAAACTTTTCATTTCACTCTATTCTTAATAAATTATTTTAAAGTTGTATGCTGTTTGCATAAGGAAACCACTTTACACTAACCGCGGAATTGAGAACCTACCGAAAATCATTTAAATATGGCCCTCGAACCAATTTTGTTTTCAAATTATATTGGTTCGTGTGAAATCGAGTAAAAAAATTGAGCAAATTATTGGTAACTTAATATGATTTTCCATAAATTATTGTACTTCGCACGGTAGGGCAAGTGTCCAAATCATACATTTACTTAAAAAGGTTTTAATTGCGGTTTGTCAATGGGTGTTGTTGGGTTAAATTTTTTTTTTAAGTTTATGGATGCATAACATGAAAGTTTCCGGAATTTGTAAATATAGCTATCAGTAAACTGAACCCATTAAGCTAAAATATACATCTGTAAATACACTAAACCATACAAATACTCATCTTTTATTTTAAACCAGAGCAAGTCAAATAGATAGTAGATTTTGGTAATTTAATTTTAATCTTATTTTTATTTCGTATAAGAATACAATTTTTATTCAGAAATAAGGAAGGTGTTAGATCTGAAATCTTAAACAAAACTATATCTTGAGTTTTATAAAGTTTTAGGCAAGAAAGCAACCTGAATTAAAAAGCTGCAATGGCTTATGGCTTTTCTGAGTGTATAAATGCTTTGTGGGTCAAACCATTGCAGGCCAAATCAACTTCCGAGGCAGACGAAGCGAAAGAAATGCAAAACGAAAAGTTCCGGGCTGCAAAAGTAATCAAGGTAAAGCAATCCCCGCAATAGCCAGTTGGGGCTTTTGTTGTCCATCCAGGCTAGACGGACGGATTTTGTAAGTAGCTCAATATCGAAGGGCTCTTCCCGAGTGAAAATCCACTTGAACTTGTTCGAACGGATGCAGCAGATGCTGCCTTATCTAAACATCCAACAGGTAAATGAAGTTCAATAGGGCCAACTTGACTGCTGGGTGGTAAAGGAACTCGGGCCATTTGTGCCTCAAATATATTTTAGTCCTTTTATTTATAATTTATTTGTGTTTAACGAAAGATAAGACTGTCGCTCAAATGACATATATCTACCAATGTTATACCCATCACATCCACACATGTCAAAAATAATTGCCTAAATTAGTTGGTAAATTTAAAAACGTTTCTTAAATATTTTTTTATCCTTCAACCATTTTTTTATATTATTTATTTATTTATTAGGAACAATTGAATAAAGTAAATATTTATCATACAAGTAAAGTCAGAAACCTCTGGTTCTTTGGCCTTAATTAAACATCAACCATTCTGAATATTTTCTGAAAAGCACCTAACATATAGTGAGCTTTAGATCAAGAAATAGTGGACTGGGTCAGCCTTTTTCCAGCATTGGTGGAACCACCAGGCCTTGTGGCACAGGGTGTCGCCTTCCGGATGGATACAGTCCTTAGAAGCCTCAATCCAAACACTCCTCAATTTCTCCCCAGGGATTGCGGCGAAGAGCTTTTCCAGGTGCACATCGCCATTATCGTCGACGACCTCGAACTCGTGGAAAAGACAGTTCATATAGCACTTGAGGGCTTCGTCCTCGTGGATTTGGCCATCGCTGAACTCCTTTATCGCCTCTGAAAAGATATTTGTTGTGTTAGTTATTTATGTTAAGTTAAATCGCTTTTTTATAATTCTGAATATTTAATGGTACTCGTAGATAAAACTTACCATCAGTGACACCAGTTTTGGGTGCACAAATGTCATGGAAGTGCTTCCCCATTTTAAGAATTGCTGGCGGAGGCCACTAGAAAATAATGCTGAGATAAAACCTCCGCTCATGAATTCCTTTCATTGAGAACAAACCTGTGCATCGCGCCTTGGCTCCTGGGCAGCGGCACAGCCAAAGAAAACTACCGCAACAGCCAGGTATTTGAACATTTTGAAAGTAGAATGGAGGGCCAGAGTGCCGGAATTGCCCTTTTATGAGATTGCCGGCGGATCCATTTCAATATTCAACGCCGTGATGACTGTCATTAGAAAACGCACACTAATTGCAGGCTGCCATTTGCAATCGAATTGCGAATCTATTGGCAGCACGCAAAGCAAATGAATAAATGACAGCCCATGCAGAGCTGCAATTGATAGCCAGCTGCCAAATGGAGAACTAACAAGAAAGGAAGCTAGCTTCGGCAGGCCGAAGCTTATATACCCTTGCAGTCATTAAATATGTCTAACAAAATACAAAAAGGCTAAACAGCATCTAATCTATGACGATTTTTCTATTAATTTTCCATATTGTTCATATGGCAGCCATATGATATAGTCGTCCGATTTTGATAAAATTTAATTTGTAACTCAAGACTCATAAGAAAACTCTATATTCTAAAAATCATGATTATCTGATGAAAAACATCGAGGTAATAATTTTATTTCCGTTATTTCTATATAGATTTTTCGATCTTTCCTATGGCAGCTATATGATATATTACTCCGATTTTTATGAAATTTTTTTTCTCGATTTAAGAGTATTAGAAAAGCCTGATGTTCCAAAAATCATGCTCGCGGGATTAAAAACAACGACGTTATAATTTTTTTCCATTATTTATATATATATTTTCTGATCTCTCCTATGGCAGCTATATGATAGAGTTATCCGATTTTGATAAAATTTAATCCGAAATTCAATAGTGGTTAGAAAACGCCATCTGGAAGGAATCAAGTCGATCTGATCAAAAACAACGGAGTAAGAATTTTTAATTTCATTCTCTCGTATGGGAGCTATCCGATATAGTCGGCCGATCCGGCTCGTTCCGACTTATATACTGCGTGCAACAACTAGACAACTTTTGGGAAAGTTTCAGCCAGATAGCTTTAAAACTGAGAGACTAGTTTACATAGAAACCGACAGGAGGACAGACGGACAGACAGACAGACGGACAGACGGACAGACGGACAGACGGACAGACGGACAGACAGACAGACGGACAGACGGACAGACGGACAGACGTACAGACGGATTTGGATTCAGATGGTGATGCTGATCAAGAATATATATACTTTATGTGGTCTGAGGTGTCTCCTTCACTGCGTTGCAAACTTCTGACTGAAATTATAATACCCTTTTGCTCTGCAAGGGTATAAAAACTAGAAACACACAAATTAAGCCATGATTGTATGTGGCAGGGACCTGCAATTTCGTAGTGTCATTCCCAACACGCCGAACTGGTAACTGGTAACTGGCAACTGGTAACTGGTTCATTGCGATCCGAGCTGTGATTTCGAAATACTTTATTTTTGTGGGCGTTGCAGCACGCACGCATTACGAGTGTACGTACGAGTTTCATTGTGTGGGGAAACATGTCATAAAAGTCAAATATCGCTCCGCGAAAAAACGAATGTCAAATTCAATTCCAATTTGCGATTCTTTTGACACGCCGACATCAGCAAATTTGCGTAGAGTATGGCGAAATATTTGAAACCTGAACATAACTCAATTGCCTTTAAGTTGAGCACTGAAAGGTGCCATCAATCAAAGTTGCTGCTGCAAATATATTACAATTTTTCAATCACATCTGAACGAGGTTGTAAATTAAATAGCGCGGGCAGAAGTCACCAACAAGTAGAAGTCCTTGGACATGTGTTTTGTAGCAAATTGTGTTCAAATTCATAAAAATTAGTTTAAGTGTTGCAAACACTGGTGAAAATTTAGTAGGATCTCTTAAAAGAATACAATCTAGATTATACTCCAATACGTACAAGATAATCTTGATAAAAAGTCTGCTTTTGTAAGATTTTCTTGATTGTTAATTTATTTTGATTATTTTAAGGGTTGTTGTAGTAGGTCTCATTTCAAACTAATCATTTTACAAATTTTTGTTGCTCAAGATAAAAAGTTATGTTACAATAAGCTAGTTACGTTAAATTTTTCCTGTATTAAATAAACGCAAAGATAGATTGATAGAATCTTGAGGCAATAGTAAAAGAGAAGGAAGCTAAGCTCACAAAAGTTGTTAAATGAGATAATTTCAATGACACATTTGGCTAATTGATAGATTCACCGCAGCTCTCGTATCCTCCTCTTGGACTTTCCCACGACTGGTGTCTTTGCTTTAATGGAAAACACATTCCAGAGCCATGCACTTCAATCAGCCATGAAATCAAAGCAATTTCTATGCGCTGCTCTCCATCAGCAATGCAAGCGCATCCGCGAACTCGTGACCCGAACTGCAGCGATTGCTGTTGATATTTCTGTTGCTGTTGCTATTGCAGTTGCAGTTGCAATAGCAATTGCAGTGCCAGCAGCAACAGCAGTTGCTCTTGCCACGGGGCGGTTGGAGAATATAATTACGAGGACGCAGCTCGCTTGCAGCTGGCTGCCAGCCACATATTAATTTTATTATGACGCCATTAATGCTTGTCGATGCATAAAATTATAGATGCGCTCTTTAGATAGCGCTAATTAAATAATTAATTATGCTTTAGGTCATTGCCAGTCAGCCGATTTATGAGCGCCATCGATCAGGCGCGACAATTATGCAATTCCAGATGGCAACAGCTGGATAAAATACATTTCTCATTTTTACGCATTGTGTTTATTACACCCTTTGTTTTTTTCTTAATATTCATAACAAAATCCTATTTGATTAAATTTTTTAGCACAAAACAAAATGACTGAAAACCTTGATTTTCCTTCTGCAAAGCTGATGAGTGTATAAGTTCAAAACACTTTTCTTGCTCATCACATAAAGTTTAATACTGATAAATCAAAAACTTGAAACTTAAATATTTTTTATATGGGCAAAGAGAAAAAACAAAATTTAAGAGCTTATCTAAGCCGTTTTCTTTAATGTTTTATTTTTTCCAGTTGAAAGGCAATATTAAATACATTTCTCAAACACTTTTTTCAGAGTGAAAGCACAGTGCTTTAAATATTTCCCCCTTAAAACTTTGCTTATTTCCTGGGAGATACTTAGCTGGCATGGTGACGGATAACCTGACATCTGAAGCTCAACCTGTTTTTCTGGCAGAAAGGGGGAAACTTCTGCCCTTTAGAGTTTTTCCGCAGGTAACTGAGTTACCAAATCTTAAGCTGACTAAACTGCATATCCGAGTTATAATAAGAAGAACACTTTTACCTGTATGGTACAGAAGGTATTGAGCAAAGAGCATTGGGATTGCCCGGCAGGATATCAAGCTAATGTTTTAATCCGATGGAGCTAGCTTGTTACCCGATTCCGCAGCAACAAATACCCCGAAAAATTAAGTTTGACGACTGACACAAGCGGGGGTCACACGTGACAGCGATAGGAGATGGGAAAGCTCAAAGCTTAAGTAGCTGTAAGCCGGGTATCGATGCACGTGAGTGGCAGGGATGTCAGCGACTTAGTGGCTCTGTGGCCGGCAATCACGTGCCAAGCCAAATTGAAAGACTTATGACCGCTGCCATGCGGCTTTCATAACAGGAACCGCTCAAATTAACCTCCCGCCTTCGGCAATCAAATGCCGAATGCGGCTCTCCAAGGCGCGAAAATGCATAACACGATTATAGCCAGCCAGAGTAATCATACGCCGTATTGGTCGACAGTCCAAGATGGAGAAAGTATCAGTGTTCAAAATTTGATAAAAATCTGTTTCCTTATATTTTCATTTTTAAAAGATTTTTCGGAGTGAGCTTGCATGAATGATGCATGATCTTAACCTATAAATTATAAAACATGTTGAGGATCTTAAAGGTATGTTCTTTCCTTCTCAAAAAAAAATTTAATAAGGACTTCATGCCATAGGTTTTTCGGGTTACTTATATTAATCAGTTTAATTACACCCAAATAGAAATATATATTTTAGTTTAGAGATCCCCGCTTTCCCTCAGTGAACTGTACAGAAAATGGCCAGCTGCCATGAAACAAACGGACTTGGGCAACAAGTTAATTGCAATAACAACAAGAGGCGCAAATACAACACGCACGGAGCCATTAAAAATAATGTGAGCTAAAACACCAGCCCTTTCCCCTCTCCGCCGCCTTGAGCACCATCATTTGTCGCACACGAAACGCGTTAATTATGGCCATTGCAGTTTTGCCCACACTACCCCTCCCCCTTCCCCTCCCCTTCCCCCGTTGACGAGCTTCCCTCCCACAACATTCATTAATTACTATGCAGGCTAAGCGCTCGGCTAAAGTTTTGGACAGGGCCTCTCGCATACTTTGACATGCAAGCGCCAAGTGTCAAATTAATTTTTAATCGCCGCCACCCGAATGTTGCCAAATAATAGATTTAGATGGGTCGTGCGTTGTAATTAAAGTTTTCGGCATCTGGCGCCACAGTTTGAGCCAAGCGCAAAGAGCCAGGTCACTGGCGTTGGCATGTGTGTGGGTCCCAGTCTTCTCCTCCTGGTCCTCGTCCTCGTCCTTTGCATTTTCATTATGCATTGTTTGACTTGGGCTTAGTCGCCGCTGTCATCGGCATCCTTGTCACTGGCTCTGGGCCATAATAATGCACTTTAACGCTGCGCCAGGCATCGGCCGGCAATCTATTGACATTTGACACTTGCAAATTAAACGCTCGCAGGCAACATCAGCAGTGGAAGTGGCTGTCCTGCGTTCCGGCTGCACAATTTATTGACACCTTATTTGGCAACGCACACAGCAAATGGCACAACTCGTTTTGCGGTTTGCACATGCAATTTACATGTGTAATTTTTTGGAGCGGCCCAGCCATGAAAAGTTGCCGCTCCTCGTCAGGACCCGGAACCGCAGGACTAGACTCCAAATGACAGCTGGACGACAACTTCGTTAAGCGAACTGCAGTCCGCTCTAAAATTACACTGCGGCAATTAGTTAAAAGCTATAGTTTTACAAACATGTCAGGGTACATTTTAGCGATGCAAATTAAATGTATACCTTTGTTATTTAAAATAAATTTATTCAAAGATAATACGAAATATGTTCATCAATACATT